CTGGTGCTGCAGATGGTGACGACTTCTGGGGTAGTTTCAGTGCTAGCAAAGATAAGACCGGAAGTAGTCTTATGCCAGACTCGATTGAGGAGCCCAAGAACGACGATCCCTGGGGTTTCGCCACCTCGAAGAAGGACAAAAAGAAGAAGGGGAGTAAGAACATCGCCATCGAGATCGAAAATGGTTCTCATCTTAACGGTGTCAAACCCGACTCAGTTGAAGAGAGCAGAGGTGGTAAACATGACTACGACGATTGGGGTTGGGGAAATATGAAAGGCCAGAAGCATTCTCCACCTCCAGCACCTACGCCTCCTTCGTTGAACATGAGCCTGTCCGGCCAAGAACTCGATGGGAACGTTTGGGATGACGCAGCGAAGGCCGAAGAAGACGAGAGAGCCGCAGCAGAAGCCGAAGCTGAATTAGCAGCCGAAATTGCTGCTGAAGAGGACGAAATCAAGAAGCTCACGGCTAAGAGCAAGAAAAAGAAGAAGCTCAACAGGGCTGATCAAGAGAGGCTTGATGAGCTCCTTGAAAACGCCGCCCGCCGCGCCGAAGTGAAGGCTGCCAAGGAAGCCGAGGAGGCAGCGCAACGAGAAGCCGATGAAAAGGCGGCAGCTGAGGCTTTAGAAGCAGAGCAAAAAGCCGCTGCCGAGGCTTTAGAGGCTGAAGAGAAGGCTGCTGCTGAAGCCCGTGAAGCTGAAGAAAAAGCCGCTGCAGAAGCGCTTGAAGCGGAAATCGCTGCCGAGGAGGCTGAGATTGCTGCACTGACGGCCAAGAGCAAGAAAAAGAAAAAATTCACCAAAAACGACCAGAAGAGACTCGACGAACTTACTGAGAGAGCCAGCGCCCGTGCCGAGAAGGCCGCACTTGATGCGGACAAGGATGCTGAAGCCGATGAGGAGGCAGCTCGAGAAGCCGAGGAGAGAGAAGCAGAAGAGCAAGCAGCACGTGAGGCAGAGGAACAGGAGGCTCGAGAGGCCGAAGAGCTAGCCGCGCGAGAAGCTGAGGAGAAAGCTGCCAGAGAAGCGGAGGAAGAGGCTGCTCGTGAAGCTGAAGAACAAGCCAAGCGCGAACGCGAGGAGGCTGAAGCGGCAGCTAAGAAAAAGTCGAAAAAGAGCTCTAAGGCCGAGGAAAAGAAGTCCAAATCCAGCAGCAAGTCGAAGAAAGAGAAGGAGAAGGAGGAAAGGGAGAAAGAAAAGGAGAGAGAGAGGCTAGAGAGGGAGAAAGAGGAAAGGGAGCGAGAAGAAAGGGAGGAGAGAGAAAGAGAAGAGGATGAGGAAAAGGAGAATAATAAGTACGACGACGACGACGATGACCTCGATCTCGATAATCTCGACTTGGCTCCCGAACAAGTGGATGAGCTTCTATCGGGCTTCTCATCTCCTGTTCCTAAATCGCCACCAATCACAAGTAAAGCCGATGCGTTTTCATTCTGGGGTGCCAAGCCTAAGAGCTCATCGCCCGAACGGGTAAGTAGCCTCAAAAGTTCGGGTGAAACCGAGATTAAACATGCTGAGTCATCACAGGTTCTCGAGGATGCCGCCATAGACGATGCACCGTCATCTTTCAAAGTTACCACGACTGACGATGATTGGATGAAGCCTAAAAAGACTAAGGTCAAGGGTAGTAAACTCTCCGAGAAACTCAGGAAATTTGAGCCAGCCAAAGAAGAGGATGACGATGATCTGATTGATGCGCTGGCTGCGCCGCCGCCGCCACCACGTGTTCCTGCGGCACCCCCCACTGAGGAAAGATCTTCGAGAGACCTACTTCCCGGAGCTTTCCCAGATGAACAGGACGAGAACGAAATCATCGAAATCGTTGACATGGCTCCTGTAGAGAGGAAAAAGAAAGGCAAGAAGAGTAAATCTAAGGCTGTGGAAGTACCTCCTCCACCCCCTGCGATAGCTATTCCCCCTCCTCCTCCCGAAGTGCCTATTCCTCCTCCAGCCGCTCCTGATGCACCTGATGCAGCTGAAGCACCCGACGCACCCCCGACACCGCCTCCCGAGATCAAGTCCTCTAAGAAAGAGCGGGCAAAGATTAACCGCGATGCTGGTGCATCATGGGGAATGTGGTCAGCGTCACCTCGCAAAGAGGAGAGGAGGCCTAAGCCGAAGCCCGAAGAGAAGCGGCCCAGGAAAGAGAGGGAGAAAGAGAAATCATCGTCTTCGAAGGGTTCGTCGTCGGATAGAGACACAAGGACTGAGGAACGTCGTGAGAAGAAGTCAGCACCAACGCCCAAGCAGCGCACAAACAGTATATTCCAGAGCACGCCTCCGATTTCACGTTCCATGTCAACCCGCGAGAAGCGTCCTGGCGCAACCAGGTCTAGTTCCCGTCGTCATTCGCTTGAAATGACAAGTGGTCTAGTGTCGCCGCCGCCCGAAGAAATCCCCGTTATGTCCTCTAAAGCTGCAAAGGTCTTCGGTGTTGATAAGAGTCAAAAGAGTCATAGTCGCAAGATCTCAAACGCGCGCTTCCTAGACGATGAGGACATTGTCATGACCACTGAGGCCCCACCGAGCCCCGAAAGGACAGCTCGCAAGCGATCAAAGGTAAGGACGCGCCTACATACAAACCGTGATGTCGCTGACTTAGGCCAGCCCAAGGCCGAAGAGGAAATGTTCATGACTGATGGAGGATTCCCTATTGATGCCACGCCCCTCAAACGGTCAAACTCAAGTGCTAAGAAAGGACTTGCCGGTCTCTTTGGAGGACTCAAGTCCACTCCGCGCACTGAAATGCGTCCCGAGCCACCTCGTCGCCGCAGCACGTATTATACTACAGACGACGAGATTAGGCCTGATAAGAGAGCGAAAGGGTCCTCACGGGATTATCGTGGCATCGACGTCGACGCCATGGACGAGGAAAGGGAAGCTCGTCGCGCCGCCCGCCGTGCTAGAAGAGCTGAAGAGAAGGCTGCCGAAGAAGCACGTCTTGCGAAGGAAGAGGAGAGACGCGAAAGACGTAGAAGGCACGAGGAGGAGGCCGAAGCTCGTAGACAGGCTGAGCGCGATGCCCGACGGGCTGAACGTAGAGCTGCGCGAGAACGCGAAGCGGAACGCCTTGCTGCTGAAGCCAAAGAAGCCGAGAGAGCTGAACGACGTCGGCTTCGAAGAGAAAGGGAAGCAGCCGCTGCCGACGAGGCGGAAGCTGAAGCTCGACGTGCTGCTCGGGCCGAACGACGGAGACAGCGGTATGCTGAGGCTTCTGAGGACGACGAAGAGCGGAGACGAAGGAGGCATGAGGCTAGACGCGCTGAGGAAAGGACTAGCCGAAGGCGTACGATGCCGGCTGATGACTACGTCTACCCTCAGGAGAGGACCTCAAAACATGTAGTCGATGATCGCAGGCGAAGCAAGCCAGCGGCCTGGCCGCATTCGGGCACGGACTCCTGGGTGAAGGAGCACTCAGATGCCGGACCACCCCCTGAAGATGGTGGCCCTGTTCATGACCCATCTCCAGAGGACGATGAGGAAGCTCGCCGCGCCGCCCGTCGAGCAGCCCGTCGTCGTGCGAAATACGGCGACGTCGATGCCGAGATGGAGGATGACCGACGACGACGTCGCGCCCACCGCGAGGAACGAGAGCGTCGTGACGAACGAGATCGAAGAGACGAACGGGATCGAAGGGACCGAAGAGATCGTCGTTTGGGTGGTTCGGACGGCAGTGGTAATGGCAGAGACGGGCCACGCGAGTCTTTCTTCACCGACTCGACTCCCCGAAGCAGCTGGTGGAGGAAGCTCACCGGCGCCTGACTCTTTAGAAGATTGAGTAGGAGGTGAGGTCTTCTGATTGGTCATTGGAGTAATTGGATACTCTTCTGCGCGATTGATTCTTCTCAACCTCGGCGCCCTGTTTAAGTATCCCCGCTTTGGATTGGCTCGCATACCTTCTTCGTATACTACTCTTTGGGCATTGGTCTTTCAGCTTCGGGCATCATCGGCCCCGTTGTACACTCATATTTAAGGGGTCGCGAACTTACATGCTTTTGATTGTATTGTACGGCACGGCACAGCATGACATAGTGTTTGGATAGTGGCATGTCCGCCTCGGTGTGCACAAATGACGTGGCAAGGCTGAGCGGGATGGGGGAAAGCAAGCATGACAGGGGGGTTGGATGTTGGATGGACCGGATCCATCTGCCCCAGACGAAGCCCGAAACTCTCCGATTGGACGATTTAGATGACATCTACACCCATGTTGGAGGTCACGTATTGGTACTGATATGTTGGTATTGTAGGAGTTTTTTTTGCTGTTGTGAGCGATACGAGCGATTCAAATCGATATACCCCACCGTTCAACCCTCCTATCTATTGGGTAATATAGTCTGCATAGCATAGTTTAGCATAGCGCCACTCGTTTAGGAATTTGAGAAATATGAAATAAGGAACAAGGAAAAGGGGTTTAGAAGACTATGCTTATTCGTTTGTGCTTCCGTGTGCCTAATTGGATATATGTAGACACCAAGATAGGATGTAGGGGAATGTACGTAAGGTATTGCTGGCCCCTCTACTTACATAAGAGGTATGCAAGTACCCGTTAGCTAGCCCCTGAGTTACGACAAGTTTTACAGGTGTGGCTTGTTTGCTGATAGACGACATCCTACTAGCTATTTTCCCTTATCTACGAAATGGTAAATATATAGAGAGGTATATATATATTAGACGTTGAGCCTTTGGATGAATTAAATATTATAATAGGGGCAGAGAGATGTACGTTCGTATAAGTGATAAGACTTTACAACGGCCCCTACCATGTATATACAAACGCAATTACTACCTACATAGTACCTTATGTCAAGACCTCAGCTGATTTCGCGTTTGCATGGTTCAGCTAGCGCATGTAAGTTGGGAAGTTTACCATGTATCAGTTTCCAAGACGCGTCTCTCATAGGCTCTTACGCGTTTGTCCGCTCCTTCCCACGTCAACGGCCTTGCACCAAAGACCTTATATATCTAATAGACAATTCTACACACATCAAATAGCAGCGCAAAGCATCCATGGAGTAGTAGTTTAACTCACTCCCCTCCCACCTGGGTAAGGGAGAGACCCGGGTGCAAATCCCGGTGGATGCAATCAGTCATCTTTTTTTTTTTTTTTTTTTTTTTTTTTTTTTTTTTTTTTTTTTTTTTTTTTTTTTTTTTTGGAACGGCGAGGTCTTGGGTTCACGCCGGACTCAAGTCAACTCTTTTTCGTTAATTTTTTTCTGCTGCCTTAGGTAACTACCTGTACGTGATCAAATGGATCTTGGCCCATGTTTCTTCATGTTTTTATTATTATTATTATTTTCTTAACAGGCACGCTGAGCTTCATGCATCTGTTCACAAACATGGTGGGTTAGCGAGATGTAGATAGATGCATTAGATATGTCTCTAATCTAGTGCTGACGCCATGATGGCAGTACAATTGTTCAGAATATGTATTCCGAGTTCTAGGTAAACCGAAATATCTCGGTAAAGTCTAGGAGTAATGTACTTTTGAATACTATTTATTCCTCAACCCACCTATCTAAAACCAGCGTTGTGGAGGGCAGAAGACAGGTACTCTTATCCGGTACGTACGTACATATTAGGTATTCCTATATGCCGTCATTGATTCATAAATATTGCCATATTTCGTCCGTCCAAATCGAACACCCGCTGGACAAATCGGGGAACCATCTCCCCCAAAGAGTATGACCTTCTCTCTCCAGTCCCCCCACGGGGAAGTAGGTCTTCGTAGATAGGCATGTAGCATATCTAGACACAACATCTCAAGAAGTATATGCAGCACATAGTAGCAGCCTCGAAATCACATCACATCCCAAAACACACAAGAACCATCAACAAGGTCAAATACAGGTCATTGAATGGACAGGCCCCGACCGCCCACCCCAAGCAAAGGGCGGGTAATCCAGTGGGTTTGCCTGCCTGCTACCTACTCGAGGTTCGGCAACCTATGTATGCGTCGATAATCTTATCGGAGACAAGAGACAATGCGTGTGCCAACCAGCAGCCGTAACCCACGTCAGGTACGTACGTATGTATGTTGAGACATCACACCACCAACACCAACGTCTCGTAAAGAGACTCCCAATATAAGAAAAAAAAACCATGGACGGTAGTAAAGAGGGAATCAACCCATCCTCTTATTTCTTTCCCCGTTAACCAAATTCCGCTCCCCTTTTCTCATCCAGAGAAATATAACGCCAACTCGCAGCAGTAGCAGCAGCGTCTGCGCGATGAAAACAGCGACGACAATAACAGCGTGGCTAGGTATTTATGCCTGCCTGTACAACCCAATGCCACATGCCTAACAATAATAATAATGGTAATGAGGCCCATGTCCAAAAACACACTTTTCAGGATAGTCCAAACGGAACACACAACAAGTTGTGGACACTTTGATTTTGCGAGGGGCTCGCCAATTGGGTGCCGTCGCTCACATCTCAGTCAACCTACCACCAACCCCATGACTTGAGAAAGAAAACAAACAGTTCTGCCCCCTCTTCAGTAGCAATCGTAGCGATAACTTCGTCGTAGCACATTACAAGGTCGATACGGTATATAGAAAGGGCGGTCCCAGCCCTTGAATGTCTGGAATGAGAGTGCGGGACGATGATGACAAGAAAAATGCGAATCTATGGTGCTGGTTCGATATAATATACGGGGAACAGAGCGTGAAATAAGATCTTTGAAGGCGTAGCGGACCAGGTTCAATCCTCGCCATAGCCGCTTTCTTCGTCTTCGCTGTCGGAACTGAGTTCGCCGTATTTAGCTTTGTATCTCTCCAGTTCGGCCAGCTGAATAGCAAGGTTATCGAGAATGACATTCATCGGCGTTCGGAGATCGTCTAGCGAGGTGATCTTGCCACCACCTATTGCGATGTGTCGCATTGTAAGCGTGGAAACGCAAGTCTGCAATGCACAAGTCAGCGAGTGCAAATCAAAAATCGTCTCCAAGGGTTATAAATACATACCTCTATACGGCTCACTTGGTGCTCCATGAAATTAAATAGGAACCGTTCCGTAACCTCACCACCACGTTGCTTCATGCGCTCCAACAGCTCAGTCTCCGGAGGTTGCAAACCCCTGCCAGACATCTCTTCCAGAGAACTGCAAAGCATCTCTAGGCGTAGACTAACTTTCCATAGAGACCAAATAATATCCGGATCGAATCCGATTTCACTTCCAGGTTGAAGAGTGGCGGGCTTCTCAGCGGCGTCGGAGGTCGTAGAGGCCTTATTATGATGTTCGATGCGGCCGGCGAGAACATGCGGATATAGTGAGTAAATGTACTCAGGATTTTCGAGGCCCTTGAGCTTTCGCTCACCCATTTCCTTGACTTCAAATCCTTGCGAGCTAAGCGATTTCAATTCTCTCCTGATAGCCGATGAATTTACGTCGTCATCAAAGGTATCATCGGAACCTGTAGACCCAGTCCGGTCATTTTCCTGGTAGGTCTCAAGGCAACGCTGAATCTCCGAAATAAAATCTGCTGACACGGTAATCTGACCCCCGTCGGCTACGGAAGATATACGGGACGCCTTATTTACCATCGGACCGAAATAGTCCATACGACGCGTAACGGGATCGATCTCGGCTACCGGCTCACCAAAATGGATACCCATTCTGACCGATAGGCCTCTGAAGATGAGGTTGTTGTCTTTGTCATACGTCTCTTGGCAGGAGACCGAGTTGAGAATTTCCGAGGGCCAGTCTACATTGAGCAGGTGGGTTTGAACGGCAAAGCACCATAACAGCGCTGAAGTTGCTGTGGGGAAGGAGACCATAAAAGCATCACCTTCTGTCTTGACTTCGTATCCGCCGATTCTCCGAAGCTGCCGTCGCATAACCTCGTTGTGAAGTTTAATTGCCGATCTCATAGCCGAAGGATATGTCTCCCACAGGTTAGTTGAATTCTTGATATCGGTAAAAACGATAGAAGGTTTGTCGGTGGGAGCGGGAACCTCAGCCTCGAGCCTGTGTAGCGTAGAGTCTTGGACTTCGCCCTTGGCCTTTCTGCCTCGTTTGGGTGGGTACTGATATTCGTCTGGGACGCCCGAGGGATAAAGTGACATGCTCTGCCCCCTATGCAACCGAGCTGACCGTTCCTGGCGCCGCTTGAGATCAGAGACGCTGATCATCATTATCATGATTTTCCCAGTTGCGCCATAGGCGATGGCAAGATCTCGTAATTTGTGCGCCGCGCGCATGAGATCGTGTCGTTCTGAACGAGTAACGTCAACTACCAAACCAGGGGTGAGATATTGCCACAACTCTTTCGTTGCGATCAAAATTGTTTCATCCTGAGGCGTGATTGAGATCTGTGTGATATTGGGAGCTGCTTGCACAGCCGGCATCAGGTCCACGTAACCGAAAGCACGGGAGACTTCAAGCAAATCGTTCAGCTTCCCTTGGCGCGATACCCAACCTCCAGCATCCCGTATTCGTTGACGTTCATTCGGCTCGGCGGGATCATGCTTCCGAGTGAGAATCTTATGCGTACCATCGGACTGAATGAGCATAGCCTGCGCATCACCAACATTGGCAACATACAACTCCTGACCTTGGAGGTATGCTACCGTGGCGACCCCTCCGGAATTGAGGTCTTCCTTACTAAGAACAACCGGAGCTGATGAGCCACGATGCGACATCAATGGCCTCTTCTCTGTATGTTCGATAGCCACAGTCACAAGGTCCTTGTTGAGAGCGAGAAAAGCGCGTCTAAGCGCATCGACTGGGGTCTCATTCTGGCGTGGCTTCAAGGCCTTAAGCTCCATCGTGAAGATGTGCCCGAAGTTCTCGTGAAGATACTTGGCGATCTTAGAGCCACCACTAGAAAGCGCTTGACCATCGAACAAGCCCAAGAGAGTTTCGGAATCTGAAGAGTTGAATCTTGGAACTACTAGATCAATCGTAGAAAGATGCTCGTTCTTGCCTAGCGTGTCGGCCATACCGTATGGTAAGTGACCAGCTAATGAGCCTGATGTTCTGACACGGCGGTCTTCGCTCTGGTCTGGGATACTTGGTTGAGTAAGGGTAACATCCATCAATCCAAGCACGCGCAGGTTCAACAATCGGCTGAAATCGGTATACTGCTCGCGGTTCAGAGACCCAATGCCAGGATTTGTCTGTTTGATTTCCAAACGCTTGTTTCCTGACAAATTGAGGAAGCGCAAATTCGGATTCAGATTCCAGTTCCAATCATATGGAACGTTTGAAATATTGTATTTAAGAGAATTGTTTCCACAATCCAATACAGCCAGCTTTTTCGCTCGGGAGATATCCGCCGGAAGGTTCGTGAATTTGTTGTTGTTGATGTGAAGCACCTGAAGCAAGCTATACTCCTCCAGATCATCAACCGGCAAACTAGTCAAATCGTTACCAGACAGGTAAAGTTCCACGAGCTGGGGCCAGTTCTTGATGCAGCGCTGTGGCATGTCGCTGAGGTCATTATACGATAAGTTAAGGATACGCAGTTCGGCTAGCGCTGTGATCTGCTCAAATACTTCGTCGTCGAGCTGGTTATCAGCAAGATATAAGTTTCTTAGCGAACCGGCAAACGTGTTAGTCAGCCGATTAGAAAGTCCAGAGTCTTTTCTCGACGTTGCAGGAGGCGTCATAGTCCCATTAGCGCTACTAGCAGTCGTTGTTCGCGAGACAACTGAAGTTTTCCGCCCTCCCTTTCCGTAGACCGAAACGACAGAGCTCTTCCGATCCGCGCCAGAAGGAACAGGTGAAGGCCCAACACTGAGCAATGTGCTCGATGCTTGACTAGGTCGGCGCGACCCGTCAGGGAGGAGATCCTCGGAGCTAGATGCGGAAGAAAGAGGTCCAGTCGGGGCTTTATTACTGGGAGCCGGTGAGCCTGAAGATTCGCCGGGCATTTGAGGCGGGCGCGATGCTGGCTTCGGAAAGTTTTCTAACACGTTTGAGGAGGCATTGAGTGTTTCCAGTTTATTTGCCCACCATATGTCCATCGGCAACTTCCTAATGTTGTTTCCTCTAACATCCAGAACTCTCAACTCAGTCATACACCCAATTTCCGGAGGTAACTCGCCCACTGCATTGTGAGCTATGCTGAAGTGCTCCAAC